GGCGGCGGTCCCGCCGGGATGGGCAGATGCTACTCCAAGTGTTTTGCGTGCCTTACGGGCGAGGAGGAGACGGTACTTTTGCCTCTTTTGATCCTTCAGGGATAGGGCAGGAAGGCAGCCGTTCCCGCGCCCGAGCTGTGCTGCGGTTCCAGCAGCGCGTCCCGGGCTGGCAGAGGGGAGCGATGCGGTGCGGTGCGATGCTCCCGTGCAGGTGTAGCTGTCGCTCTCAGGTGCACTGCAGTGCCTTGCATAACGCTGTCCTGCAGGCTAAATGTAAAGGTCGGAATTCTTGAAACAAAGAGAGACCACCGGCATCTTCTGTGGTAACAGCCGGCGTGACTTCTTGCTGGGGTTCGTGCAGTTTTAGCAACCACATGGAGTACAAGTTATAGAGGAAGCCTGCACAGTTTTAAAGTCTGACGAGAGATGATTCAGCCTCCAGCTGTCCTAAGGTTTTACCTATTTAATGGTCCTACTTTCTGATGGAGAATTGGTGCTCCAATCTAGAAGTGAAACTACATGTTTGCTTATGTCAGGGTGAATCTAAACCAACCACATTTCCAGGCATTAAAATGGGTCATGTATCAAATGTCAGTGCAGAGGTAAGTGCACAGCTACAGGTAGCAGGGGAGTAGCATGTGTGAGAGGAGTTGTGGGGCGTTTCTGACACAGCTTTTCACACTGGTCTTCTGGGGATTTGCCTGGGTTTCAAGTATGTACAGAAGAGAGAGAATGAATATATGCTTTTAATTTGTTTGGTAGAAGGTATCTTGGCAGAAACACGTGCTTGTGCAGTATATTTTGTTAGAGATTGGCTTTTAAAAAGACTTACATACTCGGCCTGATGAAAAGCTTACAGTGTGTCTATTTGCCTAATAATATGTTCAAAGAGAGCTTGAGATGTGCTGCTACCCATGTCATGTCAAGAAAAAATGCAGGGCTTAATATGAAACCTGTTAAAGTGCAGTCACAGGGGATACATATGGGATATGTAAACTTTAACCTGAAGAGGTTTATGAAGGAGAATTACTTGATAAACAGCATGATTGAAAAAGCCATGTTAAAACACCTCTTTTTGGAAGAAAGGCTGTAGATAATTCTGAACATCAGCTGCAGTGGGATTCAGTTACTGCTTCTGCAAGTTTCATCTGAAATATTTATTGGTACAAGAGATTTCCCAAGGTATATGTTTCTCTTTCCAATAATACAAGGCCTGGCCCCAGGGAACTCTGAATAAAACACAGCAGTGACTAAGCACTGTGTGCAGGTCAGTCTTTTATCTTTTTTAAATTATTTTTAAAGCATTGGATACAGGAAGGCTATTCTGAAGGAGCAGTTTTTAGAAACAAGTGCCACAGAGCATCTATCTGCAGTGCATATTTTTAGGAGATATCATGGAGAACTGGGAACTGTTCATGGAAATGCTGTACATATATTGGGTCTCAGCATATCAGCATGCATCTAAGTTGGCAGGAAGGAGAGACATGTCTTTTTGGGGAGGTAACTCCAGGTTCCCATATTTGCTTCCCAGCTGCAGTTGCCTTCCTGTGTGATTAGGCACGAGAGTCTTGGGAAGGAGGCAGCAAAGGTTACTGCCTACTCTTATCTTCTCTTTCAGACATCTTGTGAAGGTTAATATTAATGCAAATTAATTAATTCAATGAAATGTCCTGTTAATTTTTTTCTTACACATTCATTTTGGCAGATTTTTCCTCACATACTTAAGAATTTTCTAATTGCTCTGATGTTTTGACATAGGACCTATAGGAGTCTCAGCATTGGACCTGATGACTTTGCCTTCTCACATCAGATCCAGTTTTGTTCTAGCCCTTAATGCCAGTAGAGTAGTAACAAACCCAGTGAGTTCTGCTTATCTGTAGGTAATAACAATGTTTTATACAGAGCTCCTTTGCTGTAAATGGCTTTTGTTTCAAATACTGGGAGCTGATAATTTGAGGGGGTGCTTCCCATCTGCAAGTCCTGTATACAGTGTACCCCTGCACACACACCTTCAAGGGCACCAGTCCTGGCAATGAGTCAAGAACACTTATTAAAATTACTCCAGTGAGTTAAACAGGCAGGAAGGGCAGATGCAGTGGTGTTGTCCAAAAGGGGAAACCTTATCTCTGTGAGGCTGCTGGTTTGGGAATCTGTGTGAAGTGCCATCATTTTTTTAACGTAACGGGCTATATTTATCCGGACCTTTTTTGGGTTTGGGGTTTTTTTTCCCCTTAGCTTTTACATTAATTAAAAACCCCAAAACAATCCACTCCATTTTATTCTGATTTTAATGCAGTTGGTCTGGACTGGGAACTCTGCAGTCCTGGCACACAAGCCCCTGTGCATTACTCAGCAGTGTGTGTCACTGGCTGCTGGGGGGAGCCCAGCCTTATGTGCCTGGCTTCTTCCCACAACTGAGTAAGGAAGATGCCCACATCACCTGCCTCTCCTGAGGCTCTTGAATCAGTTCAGTTAATAATTGAGCAAAACCTTCCAGAAAATATGTCCCTTGGAACAAGTAGAAATCACCCTGAAAGGTCAGTGTCTACTGGATTAAATTTTCCTATGTCTTTCTATGTAGACAGAGAGAGTTGGGATTGTTCAGACTGGAGAAGAAAAGGGTCTGGGGATACCAGGCCTTCCAGTACCTGAAGGAGGCCTACAGGAAACCTGAGGAGGGACTTTGTACAAGGCTTGTAGTGATAGAACAAGGGGTGATGGTTTTAAACTGGAAGAGGAGAGATTTAGATTAGACATTAGGAAGAAGATCTTTAATGTGAGGGTGGTGAGACACTGGAACAGGTTGCCTAGGGAGGTTGTGGATGCCCCATCCCTGGAGGTGTTCAAGGCCAGGTTGGGCACTGAGCAACCTGGTCTAGTGGGAGGTGTCCCTGTTCATTCAGGGGGGCTGGAGCTAGGTGATCTTTAAGGTCCTTTCTAACCCAAACAATTTTATGATTCTGTGAAAGTTCAGATTCCAATTTCCTGGTATTACAAAAAAATAAATCTGTTGTGTTATTTCTCTTAATTGAGTTAAAAATTAGATACAGGAAAAATAAACATTGAAACATTAAGCTCTGAAATAATTTTCCTCCCTTTCACTTTCGTAAGACAGAACAAATTTGCTGTCCTATCTGTTATGTATCCTGCTGCTGAACTAATTCTTTCTGTGCCCTAGATTTGTATTAGACTTGCTTGCTTATTCCTGAAATATTTACTTTCTAGGACTACTTTTAATTCCATTTGGTACTACTCAGCCTTATTTCTTGAATATTATTTTTACTTTAAAGATTCTTGGCCTTGTCTAACCCAGAACATGTTTATAGTAGCCTGATCTAGGTTTCCTAATCATTGGTGATCTTCCCAGCAGGCTACTGTCCTTTGCCTTCTTCCTAATGTGAGTCAGTATACATTCCAATTTAAAGCATCCTCATGCTTGAACCATCACGCTGGTTCATAAATGTGGTTTATTGTAGTAAACCACACTCCAACAGGTTTTCCCCAGGCTTATCTCTGTCAGTTTGCACAGCACTCGTGAGGAATCTGCTGCCAAAGTCCTTGCATTTTAGTAGTGACACCTTTGGATTATTAACGTAATTATGTTTTAGTTTTCCTTTGGCCAGCTCATTTGTTTTAATTCCCTAAGTATTAGTTTTGGGGGGTTTTGTGAGAGAGGTCAAGGAAAGGAGCTCTTGTCCTTTATTGCCAATAAAATGCCAGAAATAAATACAGAAATAGGGATGAATGGCAATCCAGCAATACATGGTACACAGATTAAGCACAAAATGACAGAAAAATACAAATGTCTTTTTAGACACATGGGAGTAAATAGAGTGTTCTGTGCTGTCCTGTGCACAGGAATGTGTGCACACATATTCATAGAGACACGAGGTATTTGTGGCCAGTGAGTCATGGCTCTGAAGCTTGATTTTAAAACTGAATCTGTTCATTATAATCACCTTCTACACCCTCCCCCCCCAGAAAAAAGAAAAAGATCCAAGGAATCATCCTAATTTGCTTTAATAAATGAACATGTGAAAGTGCTTATCTGGGATATCTATACATATTTCTCTGTCTTTTTCCTTAAACAGAATGAAAATGACCTTGTGAAAATAAAGGAGTTAGGAGTCGAGATTGAAAACATCAGGGATGAAGTTGGTAAGTAGCAGAAGTTAAGTGACAACAAAATTGATTTTCTCACTCTACACAAAAGCAGTTCCCTGTGACCTGCTCCTAAGAAATCCATGTACATTCAGTGAAGTGACTTTTGAAGCCCAGTGACAAGGGGTTTTGTGGCTTTGCAGGGAACCATGATTTTACCTCTTTGTAGTGGAGATGTGTCCATCACCACACACACTAGAGCTAGTCCTGTATCACTTCTACTAGAATAATGGTTCTTCATCAGTTCACAGCTTCTCAGACTGTACTGCCACTGCCAAAGGAGAAAGCAGAGTGTGATGAGAAGTGAGGTCTTGGGACTGTTGTGGTGCAAAGTGGCTGGAATTCATGGCTGACTTAGATGCATTTGCATGTTTTGCAGTTCAGCTACAAAGTGAAGGACTCCAAGCTCAGAACTTGCTTGTTAATATCTCTAGGGTCTCTTCCTGGTTGGAAGATAGGAAATGCAACACATCCCCTTCAGTCTGTGCATCTGCACACACCACTTTTCCTGTTTGGTTTCCTATCTAGAAAGGAGAGACAGGAAGGGTTTGAAGACCTTGCAACTCTTGAGAGAAAAGGTGGGCTTTTGTGCTGGCTTCAGCAATGGGCTGAGTTCTTTTGGGCTTAAATCTCCCCAGAATGGGCTTAACATTGGGTTCATGTACCCCAGGGCAAATGGAGAGGAGGAAGGGCACCTGGAGGGAAGACCACTGGGGCCAGGGTCACCCTGAGTACAAAAAGGTGGTGCAACAACCATGACTGGAGCTGTGAACAGGGGAGACCTCTGAGCTTTCCTTGTATGTGGGAGCCCAGCTGCTGGGTCACACATTAAGCACAGATTGTGCCACATGGTGAGAGGGTGACTTGGTTTGCAAAGGGGGGCTAAAGCCAAACCCCTGTGATGTAGATAGAACTACAGATCCTCCCTGTGCTTCATTCACCTTGCGTATGACAACCCACTGCAGAAAAGCTGAGCCCAGCCCTTGCCTGATGCCCAAGAGCTTGTGCTCCCTGCTGTGCCCTCTACAATTTTTTGGCTATCCTTCATTTTACAAAGAGCTGTATTGTCCCCATGGCCAAAGGAAACAACAATAGCAAAACAGCACTTCCAGTTATTCCCTGGTGCCTGCCTTCATCCCTTCTCTGCATCTCCACAGCTCTCACAGAGGAGTCATTGCCTCTGGTGCATTTTTTGGACAGGGCACATCTGAAGCTCCACTGAACACCCACTTCTCATTTGAAAGCCCTTCCTCTTTCTAGCAGGTTGGGTTCGCTCACTTTCATGAGTGCTTTTGCAAGTTGTAGTGACCTGGGAAGGAAGGAGAGGTACAGTGCTGGAGATAAAGAGCTCTGCTGCCATTTACACCATGGTTGTACAGCTGAAGTGAATACAAGTCACTGGTTGTTTTGCTGGAGAACTTTGCCAGGGGTATAACTGCCTGCCTGGTCGGAGTTCACAGAGCAGCATGTTCAAGAACAGGAGATCACTGCACTGCCTGCCCTTGGCATTGTTCTTGTGCGTGCAGTGACAGGTATCTCCTTTCCCCAAAAGGTAGTCCTCATGGTGTACATGGAGGCAGTTTTGGTAAGAACCCCAAATACTCCAGAAAAAAGTCTGAGGTCTGAGCTGAGCTGTGCTGCTTCAGGAGACAAGCCATAGATGTGTGTGTGCTTTCCTTCTCAGAGAGGGGAAAGATGGTGTGAGATAGTCCTTTTCTCAGTGGTCCTGTGGGCATGTATACTGGAGAGGAGCCATCACAGGAAACCTCTTCCTGAGCAAGTCACCACTCTGAGAGATACCAGGATGGTGAACAGAGGCTGTTTAGGCACTACAAGGGTGGCTGGTGGTCTGTCCTGCTTGTTGGAGGTAATACTTTCTGTACAACCCTGAGACACAACATGCCCTGGCAGAAGGACTCCCAATAGAGAGGGACAAAAAGATGAACAGGTGTATGTTCAGGTATTAAACTCCAGCAGGATGGGAGAATATCCATCAGTAGTAGAAATCCTGATATGTATCCATGCATATGGAAGGTGGATGTATATGTTTTTTAGTGTAAGTCAAAAATTGCTGGACAGTGTGTTTTCCTGTGGAAGAAAATTATAGAATTAAACATTATGAAACAACCAGTGTTTTAAATCTGTGGACAAGGTGAAATGATAAATGCCACGTGCATAAGAGTGGTTCTTGTCAGTGCAGTTCTTTGCTGTCTCTAGAGCAATGCAAACTGGGGCTCTGGGACCTGTGGCCCACCTGCAGTGTAGGAGAGTTGCTTTGGTCTCACTGTCATATGAATCTGCATGTTGTACAATGTTGTACATATTCTGCCAAGCTTTATGCAAATAAAGAATGAAACAGTAATTTATTTCACATCAGCACCCATAGGTGATTCTATTAAGAAATCTGGGGAAAATCTACCAAATTTGTTATTTTGACTACCACCAAGCTGTCGTTCTGACTTATCTCAGTCACTTTGCTAAGTAGTTTCTCATTAATTTAAAAATAACCAGGTCTACCAGTGGCATTAAAAACACATCCCTTTTTTTTCCTGTGTTTTTCTGAATATTATAATCATGATGATTTTAATAGCTTCTTACATGTTAGATCTTTGCAAGTGAGCACATTTTGTCTCTAAATGTAGGTCTGGCTGCCCTTGTCCCACTTGTATCAGGTCTTCAATATCTGGATTGATTGCAACCATATTTTAGCAAAGCAGAAGGCCAAGGACACAGTTGTTTGTGACACTGCTGTCCTGGGACCTGAAAAACAATATAGGTGAGGAGCCACATGGGGCAATAGACTGAATATCTTGATGGAACTTGATGGAACTGTTAGAGTTGCCCTTCCTGAAGCCAGTTGTAGACATAGTTGTGAATTAAGAGACATGGTCAATGGGTCGGTTCACAAGAGTAAAGAGCTCACATTTTCTGATTGTCTCCAGTATCAGCCTTTCACTTACCCTGTTTCTGTAAAGCACACAAGACACTGGTTTCCCAAACCTTCCAGACCACAGAAGAAGTCAGGAGTGAGGAAGACTTCACCTTGATTGAAGAAAATTGGGTTAAAGATCAGTTAAGGAAACTGGAAATCTTTAAATCCATGGGCCCTGTTGGGATGCACCCATGTGTGCTGAGGGAGCTGGCATAAGTCATCACTAGACCACTCTCCATCATCTTTGAAAAGTCCTGGAAAATAGGAGAGATGCCTGAGGACTGGAGGAAAGCTGATGTACCTCCAATCTTCAAGAAGGGCAAGAAACAGGACCCAGATAACTACAGACTGGTCGGTGTCACCTCCATCCCTGGAAAGATGATGGAGTAGCTCATTCTGGAGATCATCTCTAAGCACATGGAAGAAAAGAAGTTTGTCAGAAGTAGCCAGCATGGATTCACCAAGGGGAAATCATGTCTGACTAATCTGATAGCCTTCTACAATGATGTGACAGAATGGATAGATGCAAGGAGAACAGCAGATATTGCCTTCCTTGACTGCAGTAAGGCTTTTGACACTGTCTCCCATAACATCCTTGTGGATAAGCTCAGGAAGTGTGAGTTAGAAGAGCAGACAGTGAGATGGATTGAGAACTGACTAAACAACAGAGCCCACAGAGTTGTGATCGATGGTGTAGAGTCCAGTTGGAGACCTGTGACTAGTGGTGTTCCCCAGGGGTCAGTACTGGGCCCAGTCTTATTCAACATCTTCATCAATGACTTGTATGAGGGGACAGAGAGTATCCTCAGCGAGTTTACTGATGACAGGAAGCTGGTAGGATTGTCTGATACACCTGAAGGCCATGCAGCCATTCAGAGACATCTAGACAGACTGGAGAGCTGGGCAAAGAGGAACCTAATGAGGCTCAACAAGAATAAATGTAGTCCTATTCCTGGGGAGAAAAAACATCATGCACCAATATAGATTAGGGGTTGACCTGCTAGAAAGCAGCCCCATGGAGAAGGACCTTGGGGTCCTGGTGGACAACAAGTTATCCATGGGACAGCAATGTGCCCTCATGGCCAATAGTATCTTGGAATGTCTAAGAACAGTGTGGCCAGCAGGTCAAGGGGAGTCCTCCTCCCCCTCTACTCTGCCCTCATAAGACCACATCTGGAGTATTGTGTCCAGTTCTGGGCTCCCAAGTTCAAGAGGGACAGGGATATGCTGGAAAGAGTCCAACAGAGAGCTACAAGGATGATTAAGGGACTGGAACATCTGTCATGTGGGGAGAGGGTGAGAGACCTGGGGCTGTTTAGTCTTGAGAAGAGCAGACTAAGAGGGGACCTTATTTATGTCTATAAATATCTGAAGGGTGGATGTCAAGAATGGGCCAATCTCTTTTCAGTGGTGCCCTGTGATAGGACAAGGGGAAACAGCACCAAGGTACAACACAGGTAGTTCCTCCTCAACATGAGGAAAAACTTCTTTACTGTGAGGGTGACAGAGCACTGGAACAGGCAGCCCAGAGAGGCTGTGGAGTCTCCTTCTCTGGAGACTTTAAAGACCCATCTGGACACGTTCCTATGTGATCTTCCTTAGGGGTTCCTGCAGCAGCAGAGGGGTTGGACTTGATGATCTTCAGAGGTCCTTTCCAACCCCTATGATTCTGTGCTTCTATGTTTCTGTGATTCTAGGTGTGCATTAGTGAATTCCAGAGGTCCTCAATGGAGCTGTGCAAAAGACTAGTTTATGGGGTGAGCAGCTTCTGACAGCCGGAAAACAGGATGTATGAGATGTATCTCCTTCTCCTGGTCAAGTGGCCAATCATATCCCCTGCATAACATGCACAGAATTTGCCTGGAGATTCCAGGCATCTTCTGCTTTCCTGGCATATCACTGGAAGTGGGGACTTAGCCAAGACTCTGGCTTGAGAGAGGGAGATAATGAAAATCATGTGTCTCAGTTGAAATGTTTTGTGTCAAGTGATCACCTCACATGCTCTTTCTTATATCCAAGGCAAAGTAAAAGCCCCAAAGCCTTGATTTGTGGATCCAAAATTGTGCAGGCCAGGAAGGGACATCCAGTCACCTTCACCATGCACGACCACGGAGTTCCCTGCTTATTATTGTTATTATTACTATACTTCATCAGATCCCAGTTTTTTGTGAACTTTTGCATACTCTGCCAGTGCCTTGATTTTAACAAATGCATGTGTGTATGTGTGTGAGAGAGAGTGGTACAGAGAGAGAAGAGACAGTGAGAGCTTGTTGGTGGTTGAGATTCATGGGAGGCCCAAAGTCTTCAAGAACCACTGTGCTCAGTGCTTTAGCAACAGATCTGATGCCACCATTTGCTCTGAAGGAGTGCAGAGCCTGACTTGTATGGTCTTGTCTCCACAGCCCTCAATATAGCAAAGTGGAAGAAACTACAGAGGGAGAATGAGGAGCTGGAGATGTGCTTTGAGGAGAAGATGAAGCAGCTTCACGTGCAGCACCAGGAGGAGCTGCAGGTGCTGGAGCAGCGGCTGCAGGAGGAGTACACCAGCAAGAGGGAGAGCCTGCAGGAGCAGCACGGGCTGCAGCTGGAGCAACTCCAGTTGCAGCATCAGGATCAGGTCAGTCTCTGCCTGTTCCCTTTGAAGAGCAGACCATACCAGTACTGAATGGGTTCAGGTAATAGATTGAATGCTATTACAGGAAAACACTGGTAAGGAACTTATGAACCCACCTTGTGTTGAGTCCCCTTGGATTGAAGGAGGCTGACAGGCCAGGTTAGAAAGCTGCTTACCAACAATGTTTCTTGGCCAAGAAAAAGGAAAATCTTGTTAGTCTAGAAATCAAGTTGCTTGAAGAATAAGGATCTCTAATCTCTGGCTCCTCCTTCCCCTTCTCAGGGAAAAGAGAAATGCCACCAATTTGAGCCTGCCTGAGGGATCAGAGTTGTTCAGCTCTGACACTGTTGAGCCATCACTGGTCCCAGACAGCCTTAGAGCAAAGGCACCTGACCCATGAGCTAAAGAGCCCAGAGAGTCATCCAGCCCCCCTTTGCCTGCTCTCCCATGCAAGCTGAGTCTCCATTGTTTTACAAACAGTTCTCTTCACCACTGACTTGTCTCCCACATTATTACAAAAATGAGTTTGGATAATTTTAAATTCCATGGTAAATGCCCATCTTTTATCCCAAGAGTGTCTTCTCCAATACAGTTGGAAATTTTGCTTCTGTTGGGTAATCCAGCACATATGTTTGACAGTTAAATGCAGTGAAATAACGTTTATTCCAGTCAAGACATGCTCAGCTGGAGTATCTTTCAGCTATTATTTAATGCAACAGTGAGCAAAAAACCCATTTAAAGTCAAGTCACTTTGCAATGAACAGCTGTTTAATTGTAGAAGTACAATAGTTTGATCCTCTGCACTGCCAGGTATCACAGATAATGTGTTAAATGTAGGGAATAAAATCACTCTGATTATAAAACCCAGAAAAGCAGATCAATGCATTGCAGTCAGAAACTGCTCTGGACCACTAACTTAACCTTGATCACCACTTCTCACTGTATTTTCTTTAATGATGCAGGTCAAAACAGCATGGTTGCAGATCTCTTTTTGCCTTTAGACAAGTCTAGTAACAAACAACGAAGGAGTCCCAAACCCACTGGGCTGTCCACTTCCCAGCTGCATCCCCTGCTGCCGTGATGCCTGCTTGGTGTGTGGAGCAGTTTGCTGGGCAATCAGCACCAAGACCCCTTTCTGGCCTCAATATGAGTGCAGGAAAAAGTTCTCAGGCTTCACTGACATCTTGGTTTCTTCCTGACCAGCCTGAAAACTCTTGTGTCTGCACTCAAAAGGGTGTTGTCTTGTCTTCCATCAGCATATTGGATGTGGACAAAAAACACATGACTCAAGAGGACACGGGAATTTCAGAATCAATGACTTTGTAGGATGCTCTTTTTCAGATAAAAGTGTGATAGATTGAAATTAATTTTCCATACCTACTCATAAGAAATTCAGTGTTTCTGGAAGAAATAATCACAACTATGAATCATTCATAGACACTTCCCATGGAAGCTAATTTGAGATTTTACAGTAAAAATCATTGCAGTGAAGTATCGTGGAGACAAAAACCAGGATGGCTCAGAACTGTGCATGTTTCTCTGACCATGAAAGGGAGTCAGGTCATTAATATCATTTAGATTAATGGAATGTTGAGATTTCTGGACATTTCATAAATAGTTTCTTCATGTAAGGGATTTTTGTCCTATTTTCTTTCTTATGTACCTCTTTTATCACCAGTAAGTTAAAGGAATGGCAGTACCAGCAGCAGTGACTACACACTGCCCCTCAAGGTGCCACAGCATGTCATGTCGTGCATCCATGTCTCCATTCCTTGTTGTTGGAACAGGTGGAAGATATCACAGCTGTACACGAAGCTGCAATGTTACAGTTGGAAAATGACCACATAGTTGCCATTACAGTACTGCAGGATGAGAATGAATGCAAGATTCGAGGTAAGCCAAAGACAACCCAAGGGCTGCACAGATATTCCAGAACAGGAATTAGCACTGTGGTGAGTTTGTGTAAGCCTGTTTTTTTCCCTCCAAAGCAGGTGGTACAGAAAATTTGTGTTGATTCAATGTTTTCACATGGGGTGGACAACAAGGTGAGGGAGAGCTGTGTGCAGTGTACAGCATCTATGCTGGACCTGAGACTGTCTGAGAGGTCACTGACCAGAGAGTCCAAATTCCACCTCACTTCACACACAGACTTTTCTTAAGAGCATAATTCTGAGATCCTCAGGAGGCCAGAGCTCATTGTACATCTCTGAATTTTGGCACTTAAATGCCTACACTACTTCTAAAAAAAAGGACTCATCATTTTCAGTGGTGAAAGTCTGGCCAGGCTGAGCAGACCAGAGGCACACCTGGCCACAGATCTGCAACTCAGCACTGGTTTTTTGTGTTATGGGTTTTTCCATGGGATTTGGTGCTGCAGACAAAGCTGTTTCCTCCCTGGCAGTGCAGTGTCCAAATGTATTTTTGCATGCCTTAGATGACACTGAGCAGTTATCTGTACAATGTCTTTTTTTGTTGTTGTTGGGTTTGGGGTTTTTTCTGTTTGTTTGTTTGTTTTTTTCACACATAAATATTAAGGTCTAATTTTTAAATAGCTCTAGTAGGTTTTCTTACAGCTTTCCCAAAATCAAGCCATATTGCTTAGCTCTGGGCTGTGTCAATTAGAGAAACAGTCCAGAGCATAAAATGAGCTGAGAACAGCCTGTACCCTTTTCCTGGAGGCAGAAGTGGTATCTAGCATATAATTTTAAAATTAGCATATACAATTCTGAAAATAAACAAAAAAATCTGTTCCTTGCTTGAGGATATTCTAATCTATCCGGTTTTGTTTGTATTTTCCGATGAGAAAACTTGGCTGTGGTTTCTCAAGTCTCCGGTGGCCAAAGCTTGTGCTCCCAGCTCCTGGAGCGGGTGTGGAATGCCCTCCTGTGCATGGAGAAGGCATTGCAGCAGCTGCTGCCTGGCGCGCTGTACAGGGCACTAGAGGAGGAGCAGTATTACTGCTGCTCTTGTGCCTAGTAAGCAGTGGTTAGAGGGCAGAACCCCATGGGGCTGGGGGGTAACGACACAAAAAATACAGGGTCTCTATGCTGAAAAGAAAGGTACTGCTACTGTACTGAATGGGTTTGGTGCCATTGGTTTAGAGATTAAACTTTAGTCCACTTTAGTTATTAAACTTTTGATTATGAAGTGCAGGGTGAGTTGTTCTAGTAGTGAACTCTTGAATTATTTCATATCGATAGAGGAATTTTTTGTGGTTGGGCTCTGTCATTGTCAGTAATGGCATAAACCTCACAGGGCACCTCCCACAGCTCCTGGAGAAGCACTGGCATTTGCAATTTTGGAACTGAGTTGATGCCCTCTCCCTACCCCATGTCCCCGAACAAATTACAACCCAAGCTTTCAAGTACATCTAATGTAAAAGTCTTTGATTTGGGGATACTCACTCTGAACTGGTAAACAACCCATTGCCAGACTGGCTTTTCAGATCAGAGCTCCTGGGAGCTGGGAATTCTGAGCAGTTATGAAAAATCAGAATCTTGTCACATAGAGGTACCTGCAGTCAGTGAAAGATCAGAAAAGTGTTATCCTCAAAACAATTCACCTAAGGTCACAGAGTATATTGCTACCAGTTTCCTACTTCACCTCCATGCCCTGAAACTGCATCCCAAATTGCACTTGGCTCATGATGTCTGTGCTCTCGGACCCTGGTTTGCTGGACTTTGCTTAGCAATGTCATGTCTGTGTGTCTTCCCCAGACCTGAATACTGCTTACAAACTGGAAAAGGCACAGTTAGAAGAGAGTTTTGAAAAGCTGCGGCTGTCACTCCAGGTTAGCAGTTTCATTCTTTCCCACCCCTGTGACAATGATGTGGAGCAGCTGATGGGGCAGCCCCAGCCCACATGCCAGCTGCTAGCACACCAGGCTGTTGCCTCTTACCAGCTGTAGTGTGTCTTGTCCTCTGCATGTTCAAACTGGGATCTAGCAGCAAAGGTGCCTCCTCAGGTTTTCCCTTCACTTGACTGGTTCAGCAAGATCCTATCTGAAGGAAAAGAGAGGGCAAATCTAAAGGGAGGAAAAGGCAGCCAGATAAAGCAAAGTAGTGTCCTTTCAGCCCTGCTCACTGCTGGCCCAGCACAAGGAGCAAAGCTGAGCTCTTCCCATCATGGTGGGAGGAGCTCCAGCGTCTTAGATGTCTGTGAGCATCACCTTGTCTGCACAGTAGCCTCCAGCAGGCTCAGAAATGCTGACCCCTCCCTGCCTGGCCCTGTGTCTGGGCTTTAAATGCTTCCCCATTGCTGGAGGTGGAGGAACAAGTTTTGTGGTGTGGACATATCTCCAACCCCACCGGTGGGCAATGTGGTGCCCCAGGGCTGGCCCTGCTGTGCAGCCAGGCTATGGCCAGACAGGGTCAGCCCTGCACATCTCATCTTCCACATGCCATTAATTAACACCAAGCTCAAAATTGTCCTGGCTTTTTCAGTCTCTCAGAGAAGTTCTCCCTCTCTCAGTGAAGAAATTCCAGGGAGGAGAGGGCAGAAGCATCCCCATGATTCATGCCAAGTTTGGAAATTTTCTGTGGGCAAGTTGCCACAGCAAGTAATGCAAGCTCCATTTGACTTTGTAGGCTGAGAGGAATGACAGTTTTTAAAACCACTGACTAACACACACTGTTACACACAACAACTGTCACTGCCTTCCTCACGCAGCCGTGACAGTTTGAGGCATGTGAGCACTTTTGCAATAAGCACTGATGTGGTTACAGCCGAGAAATTACACATATGAAATACATAAGAACACCAGTTTCACAGCAACTGGTGCATTTACAGATGTTGCATATAGAGGCAACAGGAATGCCTTTGATGGTTATAGATAAATGATTGCTTAAAACACCATGTTGTTCCTGTGTATAGCTCTGAGATGGAACCATGGTCATTTAAATCCACACCACTGACTCGTTGCTTGTTACCACATTAGAAGCCAAGAGAAGTGAAGGAAACAGAGATGGTTTTTACCAGGTATTTACCACCTCATTCAGGTACTAGGTACCACACCAATGATATAAATGCCAGCTCTCTTATGGAAGGACATGCTTGTTCTCATCCAGCCCAAGGTGATGGAGTGATTTAGCATCAAACACTTCATGAACTAGTGCCAGCCAGTGTCAGCAGCTGCAGGCATTGCAGGGGTTTCAGGGTTCCCTGAGACACTGGGTTATCGAAAATCCCACTGTAAGTTCAAGTCACCTTATGTAAAAACTACCACCTTGCAGGGGTTTCAAAGCCCTGTTCAGCTCCCCTGGTGGTTTCACAGTGCAGATTAACTTCTTTGAATGTAAGAGGGGTGATAACACAGTGTGTTCACTGGTGTGTCTCCCCTCCAGGACGAGATAGACACCCTCACCTTCCAGAACCAATCTCTGAAGGACAAAGCAGACCGATTTGAAGAGGCTCTGAAGAAAAACACCGAGGAACAACTGAAGGTAGATGGCAACTGTAACTACACAGTCATCAAGATATGAGTTTCTAACTGTGACTCACATCACACAATTCAGCCGGTAGCAATGGGATCCTTACCCCTGGGACTGGGGAGCGGGCCCCAACTGAACCCCCAAATCTTGAGCTCTGAAGAAGAGCCAAAAATCTCAGCCTAGGTTCATAATTTTCTGAGTTTACTACTTTTTCTTTATTCTTTCACCCAGCATTTGTTTCCAAAGCATTTCTTCAACTCCATCTGGTATGTCCTTACTGCTGTCTATTCTTCTTTCCCTTCCTCTCTTTCTCTTCTTATCTTTCACATTTAGGTTTCTTTTTTAGTAATATCTGAAACAACTTCTTTGATATCCCCTGTATTCTCTTATATTTTTCTGGACTTGCAGGGGGCATCCCTGTCATATGAAATATTTATTCAACTGCTGTCTGTTAAGGCCATGCTGGGTTTTTTTTAATGGTGTGTAAGTAAATAAATACACTGCAATTATTTATCTGAAACGAAATAACCCTGAAATGACTGTCCAAAAAGGGCTTTCTTCTAACTTGAAGCATTTCGGTGTGTTCATAGTACAACACCATGGGCAACTGTACCAATATGACAGAGGGAATGGTCAATAAAATAGTGAGGTGAGGAGGGGGCTAAGTGAGTTTGTAGGTGAGAGAACTCCTTAGGAAA